CCGTCAGGGGAGGACTGGCGTACGGCTAGGGAGATTGTCACCTTCGAAAAAACGGTATGGGCGATAGATTCGTTTGCTCCAGGTCTGGACGGCATATTTCCGGCCATGTTACAGCAGGGACGGAGTTCGGTAGTTCCTTACCTGTTGAAGGTGTTTCGAGCATGTGTGGCCACGGGCTTCACACCTAGAAGCTGGCGGCAGGCTAAAGTGGTATTCATTCCTAAACCGGGCAGAGCTACATATACTGGCCCGAAGGATTTTCGTCCGATTACTCTTTCATCTTTTGTGCTTAAGACATTGGAAAGGATAGTTGATAGATACTTAAGGGATGGCCCGCTGAAAAGGTGTTGGATCAATCCTAATAGATTGGGCCTTATCTACTCTGGAGGGTCGGGCAGCAAGAGCTATGCTGAATGACGTAGGCTGCAGCGTCAGCGTAGCTAGAAACTGCCTTCAGGGCGGACTTCTGTCACCCCTACTATGGTGCATCGTGGTGAATGAACTCCTCATTAGGCTCAGCAGTGTGGGTGTCTACGTACAAGCCTATGCTGATGACTTAAGCATAGTAGTTAGGAGACGTTTTTGTAGAACAGTCTCTGAAGTGACGCAGGGCGCTCTGCGTTCTGTGGAATCGTGATACAGGGAAGTTGATGTTTCTGTTAATGCTGGAAAGACCGAGCTGATCCTATTCACTAGGAGAAGAAGGCTTGACGGGCTGGTCATGCCGACCTTCTTGACTAGATTACTTTTATCCCAATCAGTGAAATTTCTGGGAATTATCCTGGATTCATGGTAGATTCGGAGACCACCCTTACAGAGTGGGAATCATTGATAATAATTGGTGCGACTGTGACAACACTAAAGTAGCAGATTTAAACCATATGTTCTTTGAATGCATAGGAAATGAGCCCCATGTTTCTAATTTAATACAAAGATTAATTTTGGAGTATCAGATATCACTTCCAATCCAACTGTCATCACTGCTAAGTTTAAACAGAAAGTCCATCCTGGACAAAATAGTTGAGTTCGCAAAATTAGCTAAGGTGATGATATAAAGCACCACGTAATATAAATTTAAAAAGTCTGCGGCTAATGGGATTTTGTCCAAAGCCACCCTCACCCCCTCACACACATACGTACATTTGTTTCTATAGATAAAGTGAGTCCCTTCATTTGGAGTTACAACAAACTTTAGTTTAAAAGGCTGGTGGCATATTTTCAATCGATCCTTGATTCATTCAGTCATTAATGTATTGTTCATTTTTCAAAAGCCATAACTCTTATCTATAATGATATATTCCAACGCGCGACCCGCCCGATCCCTACTTGCGGCCCCAAATATTGCTAAATAATTCCATAGTGGTGGCTCCCTTTTTCTTTACTTTGCCATCTTGTTGCCTTGACTTTGAGCTTGCCGACAGCTGATACACTTCATTGAATTCTATTGTCAAGTACATCAAAATATAGATAATAAAATTTATATGATACTAAAATAATCATGTGAAATCGAAATCACAACAAAATGTAAATCAAACATCCCAAATTTAGGATCACAGCGCTCTAATACACTGCATTTTGTACTGCGCGCCAAACAGTTGTCTCCGAGTGACGTCATGCGCAAAGGCGTACAAAATTCGCGTCATAGTATCACGGGGTCATTTTTTCCCTCTCCATCTGCGTTTCCTCAGGTTACACCCGTATCCAGAATTATGGGCATGTGTATCTACTTTTGTGGTTGCATATGTGCATTCATTTCGAGCCTGACGAAGCCAACAAGCAGAAATACGTGTTGCTCGGGTTACCTAGCCTATTTTCTGCTCGAATCCACTTTCCTTCTTGTTGCGGATTTTGCCCATTATTTTCCTCTTGTTTGTATATATACAGGGTGTTTGAGTTTATTGTTTCATAACTTTAAGATTCGATAGAACTTAATGCATAAAGTCTATATAAACATGGGTCGAAAAATGCGTGGCTTCCGAAATACAGGGTGTTTAAATTTACTTTCTAAAATAGTTTTTTTTAAATATTTCGAACAATATTTGATGTATAACAGTGAAAATTGGTATACAAGGGTTTTTTGGTACGACAAAACAAACCATGGGCATAGTTTTACTGTATCCGCTAGAGGGCGCTCTCTACTGTACCTGTAGTGTATTAAAATGACCGAAATTTTTTTCTTAGAGCAATTTTTTGCTTTTTGAATAAAAAAACTGATTCTTCGCACTTTTCAACATAAAAAAGGTCTCTTGTGAGTTTTCGTTATAGTTAGCCGTTTTTGAGATATTTCGATTTTTAAGGTTCGATGCATTTTTAATTATTTATGGGAAAACAATATTTTTTTTACATTTTCGATTTGTGCATTACAAGTAATTAAGATGATCGTTTAGATTGTGTTTTTAAACACAGCAATAATTCCTAACTCCAAATAAACACAAAAAAACAGAATATTAATTTGTTTAATTTTCCAATATTATTTTTAACAAATTAAATTAATTATTTACAACTAAAATGTTATTGGATAGTTAAGACAAACATACAAAATCTAAAGTAGTTGCTCGAAATGTAAACCCAATTGTTCAATACACAATTCACATCTACGAATGATCGAACGTGGTATAGCATGATTCAAATAAGGCCTTATTTCATCACATGCATTCCTGATTCTGTCTATTAGCATATCTCTTGTGGTTACGGGAGTCTGGTACACTTTTTCTTTTAGAAATCCCCACACAAAGAAATCTAATGGATTTAGGTCAGGGGATCGTGGAGGCCAGGCGACTGGTCCTCCACGACCGATCTTTCTGGATAATTTTCGTCCAGCCAGTTTCTAACTATTCTCGAATAATGAGCTGCACAACCATCAAGCTGGAACCAGGCCAATCTTCTTAAATCTAACATAACATCATCCCACATATTTGCATGTTCAGACTTTAAAAATTCCAAGAAGGTCGCAGCATTTAACCTTGCAGGCAAAACGTAGGGTCCAAATAGTCGATTACGGTAGATACCAATCCACACGTTCACACTAAATTCATGCTGAAAATTTCTTTCCCGAACTGCATGTGGATTTTCATGCGACCAAATATGTTTATTATGAAAATTTACCACTCCACGTCTAGTGAAGCATGACTCATCGGTCCATAAAACGTTACTTAAAAACTCCCTATTATTATCAGTTCTATCAAGAATCCACTGACAAAATGTGATTCTTCGTTTTCCGTCCCCTGGCTGTAGTCCTTGCACAGGTTGCAAATGGTAAGGTCGTCTATGGTCATTTCTAAGAACACGGTGAACATGGCTTGCTGAAATTCCCAAGGCACCAGAAACTCTCCTGACACTTGTGGTCGGATCTCTATCAAACTCACGCAGAATCATAAGGGTAAATCTGCGCTGACGAACATTTATGTTTTGATCCCTTTGGAGATTTCCAAAACCATTTTCAATTATTTGGCGATGCACTCTTACAAATACTGAGCGAGTTGGATGTCGTCTGTTTGGAAATCTTCGTGCGTATTCTCTGGCTGCTTCTGCTGCGTTTCGATTTACAAAGCCATACACAAAATGAATATCCGCTAACTCTTGATTGGAGAATAAAAATGGCATTTTTATAAAACTTACAAAAAAAAACAGGTAAAAGAAACTAAATTTCGTGCATTCACAATTGCAAAAAAACGTTTCAGGTTTCAACAGACAACAAAACTAACTGTCAACTAATTGACGTTTAACCTTATTCTGCTTTCAATTTCAAAAATATTTGCAGGCACAGCCTACTTCTAAAAATTATCCAGATACTGACTTTTTAACGTTATTTTATCATAAATAATTAAAAATGCATCGAACCTTGAAAATCGAAATATCTCAAAAACGGCTAACTATAACGAAAATTCACAAGAAAGCTTTTTTATGTTGAAAAGTGCGAAGAATCAGTTTTTTTATTCAAAAAGCAAAAAATTGCACTAAGAAAAAATTTTCGGTCATTTTAATACACTACAGGTACAGTAGAGAACGCCCTCTAGCGGCTACCGTAAAACGTGCCCATGGTTCGTTTTGTCGGACCAAAAAACCCTTGTATACCAATTTTCACTGTGATACATCAAATATTGTTCGAAATATTTAAAAAAAACTATTTTAAAAAGTAAATTTAAACACCCTGTATTTCGGAAGCCACGCATTTTTCGACCCATGTTTATATAGACTTTATGCATTAATTTTAAAAGTTTCATCGAATCGTAAAGTTATGCAACAATAAACTGAAACACCCTGTATATATAGAAAATGATCATGCGGAGAAATGTATATAACAGATAGAAAAATGATGGGCAAAATCCGTAAAACAAGGAAAGTGAATTCGAGCAGAAAATATGATAGGTAACCCAAGCGATACGTATTTCTGCTGGTTGGCTTCATCAGGCCCGAAATGAATGCACATATCCAACTACAAAAGTAGATACACATACCCATACATCCGGGTACGGGTGTAACCTGAGGAAACGAAGATGGAGAGGAAAAAAAACCACACACGAAGCCCACAACAAGAGCCAACCTACACATTGTAGTATAAAATAGCTAGAAGACCTCGAATTTTCAAGACGACATCTAACCACAACCACGCGGCTGGTTATTGCCACTTGCTGTGGTTCTTCAAGCCCAAAGGATCTACAAAGAGAAAATGATCATGCGGAGAAAGGTATATAACAAAAAATAGAAAAATAATGGGCAAAATCCGCAAAAAGAAGGAAAGTGGATTCGAGCAGAAAATAGGATAGTTAACCCGAGCGATACGTATTTCTGCTGGTTGGCTTCATCAGGTCCGAAATGAATGCACATATGCACTTTTATAGTTTATAAAAGTAGATACACATGCCCATACATCCGGATACGGGTGTAACCTGAGGAAACGAAGATGGAGAGATATAATATATATATATATATATATATATATATATATATATATATATATATATATGTAATATTTATAGGTATAAGATTCATTTAAGTACCTGAGGTCCGGATCTGGACAAGTAATTTTATCACTGGTCGGCCTGAAGACGCAATCCCTAAGAGTGAGATTGCTGCTCACAACATTATGTAGAAACAGTGCATCCTTTATAGGTTGATTTGGTAGAGTGATTTGGGAAACATATGGCACTGGAAATTATGAAATAATAATAAGAAGAATAAAAAAATGCAGGGTGAGTGGTAGATGGGTGAAAATGTTTATCCAACTACAAAAAACCGGGAAGCTTTTACGATAAAAAATGGTTGAATGCTGAAATGTTACATCCAGGGGCTTAGCGATTATAATTTGTGTTACTCATAGTGGTAACCGTTCAAAAAAGCTCTGAAAGCTGTTCTGACAGAAAGTCGGTAGAGAGAGAATGTGTCACATCAGGCTTCCAACATCAATGTCGGGTGAACCCTATACTAAATTTATTGAGCTTTCCGAAATCCATGATGATTGTGCTTAACCTCAACTTGCTTTTTGCTTTTTTATCTATCTTGCTAAGGAAACACCAAAATCACCAAGAGCATGCAGTGTTTTTTTGCTGCTCGAATAACCAAAGTGTAATCTGGAATTATTGACAAAAATGGTCTCATGAAAAATTTTGCTTCAGACGCAATTTTCAACAGTGACCCCAAAGAGTGTTACTGGTGGCAGTCCATAATAGTACGCATTAAATTTAACATTTTCCAAATACTGATCTCAAATGAAGGCTTTCACGTAGCTGAAACCTCAAATGTCATCATAAACGATAGAAGCATTTTAAGATTTTGAATACAATATAGGAAAAGGTGAATTGTTGCGAATGTAGAATAGTAGTATATTGCATACCTTGATGGAGAAGTATGTCATTATTGGCAGAACTATTTTATTTAGTGAAGTGCATATCATCAAAGGATAAAATGCACAAGGACAATGATGGCCTTCTACACCAAGTAATGTATAGAGGTTTTTTTTCACTACACTGATATTTCCCACATTTCATTTGATTGAATATTGAAATACAGCATATCTGATAGTTCCCTTAATACCCGGCAACACTGCCCGATAAATCCGACGCAATGTCTGCATCACAGAACGGTGCGTAGAAGAGGGATGCTATCGCTACGTGATAATGTACGATAAAGATAGAAGATATTGCTTACGTCGTTTCAAATAGTCCAATTCATCAAGTAGCATGAACCGTTCAAACTGTTAAAATCTGATAACTAAATAAACAACAATGATTTTATTTATAAAATATACTCAGCATTTACTCGTAGTGAACAAAAGTATAAGTAATATTGAATACAATAGCAGCGACAATTCTGTGTCTCATATGCAAAATAAACTAAGTGACATATAAATCCGAACACCCAGTTTACATGGTTTTATTTTAATAAAATTTTGTATAAATACTTAATGAAGCATAATAAGTAAATGATAAAAATTTCAAAATGATTGCACTGCTTTAAAGCCCTTTGACCTTTAATAATGTGTGGATGCACCCTGATGTGCTACGCATTCTCCAACGCGCCTAGGCATGCTTCTGATCAGGTGGTCAATGTCCTCCTGTGGTATCTCATTCCAGGCAACCACCAACTCCTCTCGAAGTGCTTCTAGAGTCTGAGGAGGACGTTGCAAATTGAGCAATCTCCTACCCATCATATCCCACACGTGCTCAATTGGGAATAAATCGGGAGATCTTGGTGGCCATGGTAACAATGTGACATCATTATGTTGAAAGAAGTCTATTGAGACTCTTGCAACATGTGGTCGGGCATTATCTTGTTGGAAAGTTGGATCTGCCAGGGTGTCAAGATATGGTAAAAGATGGGGTTCTAGAACTTCGTGGATATAACGCTGCGCGTTCATGTTACCTCTGATGAAGATTAAAGGTGACCTGGAACCATAAGCTATAGCACCCCAAACCATAACTCCAACAGTGTGATGAACATGTCTTTCAACAAAAAACTGTGGATTCGTCCTTTCACCACGTCGCCTTCTAACCCTGGCACGACCATCGTGCATGCCTAAACAAAATCGAGACTCGTCACTAAAGATAATACTGTTCCATTCCTGATCCCAGAGTGACCGTTGTCTGCACCACTAAAGGCGATTACGTCGGTGTTCTCGAGTTAAAAGGAGGACCCAGTGTGGCCGGTATGAAAACAAGCCAAAACTTCTCATTCGTCGGTAAACACTTTGCATGCCAATAGGTCTTCCGTGTTCTGCAAACCATTCATTTGCAATGGACCTGGTAGTAGAGAAACGGTCCCTTAAGGCCAATAATCTTAGGCGGCGATCTTCACGGTCTGTTGTTCTACTGCGGCGTCCAGTGCCCCTTGCTCTTTGCGTACGGCCTTCTGGAAGCCATGCCTGACAACACCTAACCACAGTGTCTACACTTCTTTGCACTCTAACTGCAATTGCCCGAAAAGAAAGTCCAGCTTCCCGAAGTCCCACTATACGGCCCCTATCAAACTCACTAAGTTGACGAAATCGTACAGGTCTCCGTACTCTAGGCATCGTAACCGATCGTAAAGGATGTCAAGAACCAAAATCCGCCAACGTTGATTCTTTACTGCGGCTGAAATATTCATTTTTAGAGCGTTAGTGAATTAAAAAAAGCAGTATAAAAACAGGAATGTCCAACTGATAAGGCTGAAAATTTTTTCACTTATTATTTACAGTAAGATAAATACATTCACCAACTTTTATTAAAATAAAACCATTTAAACTGGGTGTTCGGATTTATATGTCACTTAGTATACTTGTGTCCCTCTCGAAAATATTGTCGCTCAAGTTCGTGTCGTGCGGATCATATAATTTCTTAAACGCCAAAGTCATATTTTGCGCTCTTAATGCACATATAACTATTTTTTTTAGTGAATTTTGAGCATTTACTTACCAATGCAATATCCAAAAATAAAAAACGTTGTACTGTAGAGATACATATCCTCCAAAACTAACGGTGATCTGTTGTTCTGTGTAGAATTCAAAAGCACTTCAATACATGTCAACGTCTCACGGTAATATTTTAGAAGTGACTAATTGTCGAACCACTACTCCTGAACTTCGTCTAGAAAGAATGCTTCCGGTGGACGACCCCTACTTCAAAAACTTCGCGTGGAAATCAGTATTGATCGATAGTTTTCAATATCGATCTAAATAATTACTTGTAGTTGTGTAGATAACAAATCGCAATGTATATTCTCAGAACTATGTATCGCAAGAATGTGTGCGAATTCAAACAGTATCTTCCACTTATTGCGACAATTACTTAATAGAAAGTGACACCGATAATAATAACGATCTTTCTTTACTCAGATGATCGTCTGCTTTTGTAGATATCAAAACCGTTTATACAATTTTCAATGCGGAAGACGTATTTATATTAAGGCGAACAAACTGTTATGCGAAGAAAGCATGCTGAATAATAAAATAATGCTTAATGTGAGCCACATTAGGCCGCATATTGGAGAAATTTTATACAGGATGGTGTGCCCGAATTCAGCGGCGGTGCCTTTGAGCTCTTGTCTACAGTCTGACAGTAAAATTTATTTTGGTTTAATTTCTCAGCTGTTCAGCTTACATTCATTTCTACTGAGTGAAGCAAAGTTTCTACAAGCCTACTTGAATATATTGTAATATTTTTGACAATAGATAAAATTACGGTTCAGACGATTACTATACCTACATACATTAACTACACTAATTGTCCACTAATAGCCAGTTCTCAACGATACATCATTTTTGAACATATTCTGTAAGCCTGATTGACAAATACCAAAAAGACAACTTCAGAAAAAAGTAGTACAGTTTGAAAAGTAGCGATCTTCAAGCTATTTAAAATGGCGATAACTCAAAAACCGTGCACAGTCGGATCATGACACAGATGGTTTTTGTGATTGGAAATGACCCCCCTATCACCATCTTTCGTTTGATCCATGACTTCTCGGACATCCTGTACGGTGTTGATATTATCTTTTGGCGAACACCTATTAAAAATTCGCTTCATATTTTTTTTTTAAATCAACTCTATAATCTAAATCAAGATTATACAAATGGACGGTTTAGAAATTGACTTTACTGTAATGTAAATACATAATTTTGAAAGTCTTTCAAGAAATTTGGTGTTTCATGAGTAGATTTCTAAATGTGCAGATGTTTTTGACTTTCTGTACCAAATGAAGTTGTTTTTTATTGTAAGCGCACTATAAGCCAATAACGATTACATTGTTTTCAATAGCAGAACCGTACGTGCGTCACAAAAGAATGATGATTTCAGGGTTTCTCAATTTATTTCCGAAAAGGCCTTGAACTGTGAACATTTTTTTGTTGCTTTCTCATAGGGTTACCTGTACATGTTAATGCAAAACGTTGCTCCAATCTGATGAACTTCGCGCCTCTTACAATTTCCGTTATGGATGAATCATCATCATTTTTTATACCGGGTGTTTCATATTCGACCCTCACCATTGGGATCTGGGAAACGGTAAGAGCAAAGTTGCGTATTTAGTTCGCAAGGTATCTAATAACATGAGGCTTAGAAATTTTCGAAATTCAAAGTACTTCTGGAGAGAGGCGGAAGAAACCGAATTTTCCCAAAATAGTTTTAGTTTTTTCCTGACTTTATTTATAGTGGGATTTAAAAATTATTTGCACATTAACTTGTATCCTCTACAAGATCATCATCAACTTTATTTTTATTATTGACGCCATATTGGATTTTTGCACAAATGAATAGAGTTTTTTAATCTGATTCCATGTAAAAAAACAGAATTTTCTAGACAGGCCTTATTTTTTCCTGACTTCATTTGAGACGAATTTCATAATTAAATTTCGTATTGGCATTGTTGCTTATTCTCATCTATAAGATGGCGTAGTCAGATTTTCAATTCGATCTTTCGACTTCCATCACCAACTTTGTTTTGTACATTTAAATGGACTTTTCAGTTCTAAATTCAGTTATGTATTTCATTAGTTGACCATGAATTTGTTGTTGGAGGTAAATTATAAGGAAATAAAAAGGTATGGTGAAACCTGAACACAAAATGAGAATTTTATTGATGGTATTAACAATAATAATCATAAATAAGCAGAAATAAATCATAGCAGATGTTCAAAATGTTATCCGCTATTTTGTAGGCAAATGCTGACTCTTCTCTGAACATTTTGTTCGCTACTCGATCTATTTTTCTCCTTCTCAGACTTCCAAACTCTGTTACGATGTTTAATTTGAGGTCTGAGCTGATATGCCTAACAAATGATCTGCTAATTTCAAGGCCTACCCAAGAAATAATAAAGTTGATGCTGGCGGACGAGAGACTAAACGTCATATTGAAATTGTAATTCTGTCATCTTGTATAGGAAAAAAAAGTGGCAATGTTAATGTGTAATTTATTTAAAAGTCCCACTACAAATAAAGTCAGGAAAAAAGTAAAACCATTTTGGGTTCTCTCCGGAAGTACTTTGAATTTCGAAAATTTCTAAGCGTCATGTTATTAGATACCTACCCAAGTGCGCAAATGTTGCCCCATTTAAGCGACTTCGTACCTCTTACCGTTTCCGAGATCCCAATGGTGAGGGTCGAATTTGCAACACCTTGTATAATTTCAACAGATTTGATTTAGTTTTGCATCAAAACTGAGGCTACAAATTTCAAGAAACGGGACCAATGGTACGAATGTTCGTTATTCAAACACTTTATTGTTTTGATTAACTGGCTACAACTTCAGCTAAAAAATTGTCCTTCGGATGGATCCTAGTAGCTACACTTTTCAAAGGTTCCTATACGCACATTCACTCAGCACCACATAGACCTGACTCCTGCTTTTACCCAACCTAGGATCGGGACCGATGCAGGAACTCCTGGCCCCCAGCACCGACAGATAATCTGTCATCTCACAGTGGCGTAGCTTGCTCCTCAGGAGGCCCCAATGAAATCAAGTCAGTCTACTTGCGACTATTTTTTTTGTAAAAAGTTTTTTTAATAGTAACCCATACCATAGCGGAAGACGACTTTAGTGTTTTGAAATTTTCAGCCTCTCAAGACAGTATCATGCTTGATAGTCAAAGTTCAATAGATTTTAATTTTTTTCAGCTGTTGCAGTTCTAATCTAGAGGGTTAGAAATAGGAAGAATGCACCTATCCGTACAATCTAAGGGTTAGCGTTTGAGAATTCTTAATATAGCATACGACCTAAAAACTTGCATGAGATTATGAAACACGTTTTGTCTTTCATTCGTCGGTGCCCCTGTAAGCTGTGGGCATATAGCTTCGCCCCTGCTCTATCATCACCCAACACTTCACAGTATCCCGGAACCTAGATCAAGCTCACTTCTTTGGTTCAAGACAAACTCTAGGAAGAGCAGTAGTGCATTCCTGATTTAGAGGTGAACTTATCAGATATGACTCATCCTGATGACATTCGCGGAGCTACAAATCTTGTTCCTGAAGTGAGAAATGCTCTTCATGAATTCCGTACTGAACAATGAAGCGACTTTCTGGTGGGGATGCTTGACTCAAGTACACCTCTCTGGAAAGTGGCGAAGTCGCTCAGGAACGGAAAGCAAGAACAACTCCCGCACATCCGCGGTCCTGGGGGCATATTCTTTAAGACAGAGGAATAGGTCGAGGTTTTCGCTGATGCTATGGAAAGACAGATTTCTCTCAACTATCACCTTGATGATGGCTTCGACGACAAGCAACACATTGTAAGATGCGGTATCGTAGCGCCAACGGCGTCAGTTGTAGTGGCGCCTCCCTTAGAAGTTTTTCGTCAGAGGACTCTTCTTCAGTAGATTCCTCAACTGAAGAGTTGCATGGCATCGAGATCCCGTATTGCGCACCGACAGAGCGTGAAGCCCTGAAGGTCATATTGCAGACCTCAAACCACGAAAAGCATTTGGAGAGAATCAAATCACTAATAAGACGCTGAAGCTGTTGTCGCGAAAATCCTTAACTTATCTCGTGGCAATAATCAATGTCGTGCTAAGGACCCAGTACTTCCCAGCTGCGTGGAAGACCGCTGATGTTATAATGATTCCAAAGAAGATGTGTTCAATATTCCCCCAAGATTGCCGCCCCATTAGTCTCCTGCCAGCTCATCTTTAGGCTCGCTGAAAAGGTGATTCTACGTCACATTGAAATTTTCTCTGGCGGTTAGGCTTGTTGAGCGAGTAACCAGGGGATTAATTCTTAACGAAAGCACAGGCTTCTTGCTTCTGGATGTCTCAAAGGTGTAGCACAATGGCATCCTCTACAAATTGATCCAAAAGGGCTTTCCCTTCTGGCTCCTAAAGCGGAAGACGAGTTTAACATATCATTTTGGGGAAAATGGATGAATTTACAAACGTATCAGACAAATGTCAACAGCTGACAGGATTTGGGCTAATTCCAAAGGGAGGAAAACCACGCCCAGTTTTTCTCAATGTTTCTATTCCCTCGTTTTCAAGAACTAAGATGTCCTGCCTCTAACATGACGAAACGAATAACTTTATATAGCAAAACTCGATCAACCATCAGAAAAACAGTGTATGCACCAGATTATTGTATTCCCAGACAGCAGATCTACCGTCTTAGAAGAAGTGGCTTCTTCTTTCCATCTCAACTGCAGAGACGATTTGACACTTTAAATACATACATGCAAAAATGCTGCCGTCAGCAAACCTATGAACCGAAGTTCCAGAAAATGAAGTCACCCAAGTGTAACGAAAATAGTGTTTGGGGCAAAAGCAATCCCTAGATAACACTGGCGGTGAGAGCGGTCCTCTGCCTCCGATCTGCAAAACCTCTCTGAGAAGAGCTGATTGAAACCCTTCGGAATATCAATGCATCAAAAGTGACGTGGAAGTCGACTCAGGAGCTTTGTCGGTGCCGAGCGACTCTAGCAGTTGTTCGACGCTTTATGTTTGAAAGCCTCATATCCCTCTTAACGATGCACTCACACCTTTTACAAAGATTTGCGATGTGGGACTTTGTGCGAAGCACAACAAGGCTTGTTTTGCTAAATGCCATCAAATAATGGGGCGATTTAGCTGCTCATTTATTTGAAGCTACCAATTATATAATGATTTACTTTCTCGATGTATTAGGAGTACGATATAGTTCAAAAATAATTAAAACCATTTTTACCCTGTTGTTTTGGTACACCATAAGTGCTTACTAGTTTTCTGGAAAGAGCATATTGCCACGAGTGATCACCCTGTAGCAGCTTACACGCATCATAGGCGCCATATAGGTCGATAGATGCCCTAAACCGCACCCGCTGAAAGATGTGCACATCGTCGGCAAATAATGCATAATATGCAAAGATGTAGTGTTATTCGCCACCGGTCTATCGGTCTATAAAAACTGGATGGGCCAGCTCGTGGGATGATTCCATCACTGAGATCACTCGGGGCGAATCTGTTTTCGTGTGACTGGACCTTTTGTACTTTTATTTGAGCGGCGTTTTGTTAATACCCTCTGAGATTTTTTTGTGTTATCATTTAAGCCTCCATACCAGCTAGTCTGCTCAACCCAGAGCAAACTTGCCCCCACGTCACAGTCGTGACAATATCATTAAGAATATTACCATATACAGTATGATACAACGAGTAATATAACACAGCTAGGGCATCGTAGGGAGAAGCCTCGTAATCGCTAAGCTTGCTTACTCTTCAGCTGCAGCTTTTCGGTTATTATTAATCGGCGGCATTTAAAGCACCCCCTCCTCTGTGTTTTATAGGGGTCCTTGAAAATTGTGCTTTACGGCTACTGCAAGATAATTTGGTAGAAGTGGCAATGTTGGCCGCATCTACGGCACAGTCAAGTCAACTAGTCAACGCGTCAACGGTTCAAAACAGCTGTCGAGCTGACAAACGCAAACATAACCTCAAATAAATTATTTTTAAATTTTCAAATGCGGATTGCGAATTAATGCAAAACGTGACAATTGGAACTAGTAAAAGGTTATATTAAGACTGCGATTTGTGATAAGTGCCTCAGTAATATTCCAAACAAGTGGTTGTTTAAGTACGATGGCTGTGAGTATTCGACTTTTAAATATTCAGTTTTACATCAATGTTGCCTTATTCCCTGATAATATAGATTTATACTTTGAAAAAGGGCCCCGAGGTGGCAAAAACGTCAATAAAAAATTAATTCTAATTGTGACAAATAAAAGTACCAACCCTGCGATGGTAATACTTTGCTGTGAGAGAGGTTCACAAGCAGGCAAACATACTTAACTCAATGAGCAGGGTCGGCCAACGCAAAACGCTCCAGCCAGCAGTGCAGCGCTTTTATGCTGAATAAGGCTATGGATTAACTTTGACAGTTGACAACATTTAATCAACATAGTATCAAACCTGACAACCAAGCCACAAAACCAAGAGAAAGGGGTAGGCTATAAGGAAGTGTCCAATGGGCCCTAGCTACTGGGCCTGTGCTGTGCCTGGGCTTCCAATAAACTGCCTGAAAATTTCATACTCTTACCAATAAACGTATTTAAAATAAGAATGAAATGCATTTTAATGAAAACACATATTATTCTTTAGAAGAATTCATGCAAATTTTCATTCTAAACATTCGATAGCCACCTTCAGATTTACGATCGGTAAAGGAGCGTAAAATTTCTAGTCTAGTAATGTCTCACAAGTGGATAAAAAATGGGTTGAACAAAAAACATGGTTTTTAAAAAAAAATGTTTTTTGTTTAAAACATTCAAATTTAGCTGAAAAAAAAAATGTCCAAAATACTATTAATACTTGTTTAAAACACTAAAAAAAATTAAAATCTATTGCTTATATAATCTAGCAACATTAATGAAATTCCTTGAAAGTGTTATTACTACTTTTGATCTAGCTCTATCACAGCACATCTCTAAAGCACTATTTGCCTTTGGGTAATTTTTCACGTTGCAATCTCCAGCAGTCAAATGAGCGAAGTCGTAGCATGGTGTTGTGTTTTTTTTGTGCATTAAAGATCAGCAATAAAAGAAAGGCAATGACAGGGAGGAGAAATGATCCGGTGTGGAAATATTTTAAGGAGACTGATGCCAAAGCTGGCTCTAAAGTAAATAAAAAAGCAAAATGTTTAACCTGCAATAGAGATAAAGTGCCACTGGTGGCAAGAATGCGCAAGCATATTAAAAAATGTAAACAACCTAAACAAGGAAGTTTGTCAGAAAAACAAAATATTCATATATCAGATATCCCGACAATGATGATGTTTAGGCCGAACCTATTTCCTCAAAGTTAAGTAGCTTGGAGAATTGTGAAAAAGGTACATTTTTTACTTGTATTTTCGTAAAAAGAAGTGAAAACTAAAAATTTATTCTATGTACATTTTCCATGATTTTATATTTTAAAAATATGGATTTTAGTATTTATTTATTCAACTTACGGGCGAACCCATTATACATGTGTATTATAAATAGAAAAATGCACCGCAAACGTCGCGTAAGTGGCGCTACATATGTGGTAACAGTAACATATAATAGTATATAAGGCAATCAACTGAGATTAACATAATCATCTGTGAAATTTAATACAGATGTTCAAATGAGGAAATGCAATAATCTAGTAATCATAAATTGAAATATTACAAAATCAAAAGACTACTCGAATGTTACATAGACTTTGATAAATTTCTAACAATATAATTACTCGAATTATACAAATCAAGCCAACTACTGTGTTCATTACATAGTTTAGGTAATCTAAAAACAGGATAATGATTTATCAGATCTGATTTAGCTGGCATAACATGAAAATAAACATTATTATGTCTTAACATTCTTGGTGGCACATAAAATCTGAATTTTGACAATAAACTGAAATTATCAATAATGTTATTAAATAAATTATAAGCAAATAAAACATCAATCCTGTTCCTAGCACTTTCAAGTGTTGGAACCATAATTTTGTTTGAAATATTTGTGTAGTTGTGATCGGTAAAATTCATTGGCATACCAGTTCTGTATGCAACATATCTGAAAAAGACATGATTGGCTCTTTCACGAGAATCTATTTGATATTTAAGATACGGATTCCAAACTACAGAACCATGGCTTAGAATTGGATATACATAAGAATAGTACAGATTTCTGAAGGTGCTAATACTTTTAAAATCTCTTGTAAATCTCTTTAAAAAATTGATTTTTTTTTATAGCTGAATGTCTCTTGTGTTCAATATGACAATTAAACGATAATTTAGAATCAAAAATGATACCAAGATCTTTTATAGAGTCTAACTTTTCTAACCCAATGTTGTCAAAGTTATAATCATCTTGTAAGTTACATTTACCAAAAGTAATAAAATAACACTTTTTGATGTTAAAAGGTATGCCGTTTAATATACTCCAAATAAGTAACGAATTTATATCAATTTGCACTAAGTATCTATCATAAATAGATCTAAGTAATTACTTTATATAATTTTAAGTCATCAGCAAACAACCAAAATTTACAATGACGTATGCAAGATTTGATATCATTTATGAAAACAAGAAATAGCAATGGTCCCAAGTGAGAACCTTGACCAACTCCTGATGTTACGTCAATGACATATGATATATGATTATCGATTTTGACATACTGTTTTCTATCAGTCAAATAAGACTCTAACCATTTCAACAATGCACCATTGATACCGTAAGCTTCAAGCTTATTTAGAAGCAAAGAAACGTTAACTACATCAAAGGCACTAGAAAAGTCTGTATAAATAGCATCAGTCGATAATCCATTGCTCAACTAAATTTTCTGTAAATAAACTTAAATTAGTAATAGTTGATTTATTCTTCATGAAGCCATGTTGATTTGTAATAATAAACCTTGATAAATAACAGGAAAGCTTTTCATGTACCAACTGATCAACATTTTTTGCTAAAACATTAGGCTTACAAATTGGTCTATAATTGTTGACATCAGATGTATCACCTTTTTTGTATAATGGTTTGATGAAGGAGGTTTTCCAACAGCAAGGGAAAACACCAGATTGCAATCACAAATTGTAAATTTCAGTTAATTTCGGTAATAGAAATTGCGAGCAATTAGAAATCATTAACGGTTGAATATTGTCAGGACCAGATCCTGATTTAACATTTAATTTATCAACAGATTTAGCAACATCATCAATCGAGAATCTAACTGAACTCAAGCAATCATAAATATCACAATCAATTCCAGTTGTTGTCAAGTTACTATTGGAATAAAATCCATCAAATTTCTGAGCAAATAAGTTAGTAATATCTTTACCATTATCAGCAGTTTGACTACCGTAATGCATAACTGATGGATAACCTTTTGATTTACATAACGAATTAACATAATTAAAAAATTTTTGACTACCATCAGCTAATGAGTTCTCAACTTTATTAATATAATTAGTTTTATCTTTAGTATGTAAGATATCACAATTGGTACTTGGTACTTTAGAAAACAACATGTAATAGTAATCAGAATGATACAATTTATATAATTTATGATACTTTTTCTTAGCTTTAACAGCATTAACTAAATCTCTCGAGAACCATGAAGAAAAATTACTCGCCTTAATTAAGATCTTTGGTACAAACTTATTAATCAAAGTATTAATATTAAATTCTAAAGCTTTAACTAGTAGATTAACATCATCACAGTTGTTATTAAATAAAGTCCAATCCAGGCGGTGTAATTCACTTAGAATTGCTGCATAGTCTGCATTTTTTAAATCATAAATATAATTGCAAGTTTTCAGTGTATCAATTTTAAGCACTGTGATATTTATTTTAAAAGCTAAGTGATAACTATCACAATCAAAAATAGCTTCATCAGCGATTTCATAAGAAACATCACTGCTGTTCGAAAAGATCAGGTCAAGAATATTCCCCGACGAGTTAATGTAAGTGTTATACTGAGTTAAACTCAAAAGTTTACATAAATCAGAAAGTAAAAAAGCACCAAGTCTGACATCTTTACTCAGATGATAACCAACAGCAGCAGAAAAATAATCATTTTTAAACCATCTGTAACCCGGTAAATTAAAATCACCCAATAATATGAATTGAAGTCCTTAATGTAATTTAGCAATGAATTTTGAAGGTTATCAACAAATTCTCTGTAGAAATCAGAGGTTGAAAGGGGTGGTATATAGACCCCACTAAAGAAAAATGACCGCATGAGTTTTTATACGCACAATAACTTGTTCATAAGAGTTATTAACTAAAATAACATTTAAACACTTAATACATTTTTTGACTGCAATCAAAACACCACCACCAGATTTCTTCACACTTGTAAATAAAGACCTGTCACATCTGTACACAGTAAAATCTTGGAGTTGTAATTCAGCGGTAGTAATGTCTTCATCAAGCCAAGTTTCAGTCAAAACTATAATGTCTTATTCATTCAATAAGACATAATCTGGAGTAAAACTCATCAAGCCTGACACTACGAATATTTTGGTAAAAAATCCTCAAATTATGGTAACTATCATATAGTCATTCAGTATCTTCATCATTTTCATTTAATTGATTATCAGCAACAATAGATTTAACAATTGTTGGTTTACCTCTGATATGTTTAATTTTTAAATCCTTTTCTCCCTTGTCAGATCTATGCTTCACTTCATTTTTAAGTTTTTGCATGTGATCTTGTTGTTTTTTGTAAGATCACTACTGACAAAAACATTATTTTTAAAAATTTCACTACTCTGATGATAAATCCAGTGTACATTATCAGAGAATTTCTTAACTACTTTGACTAATCTATTCTTTCCTTCAACAAAATCACGTCCAAGTCGAAAAACTTTAAGATCATCAAAGTTAAATGGAATAGTAACAAGCTTTGTATCCTCGAGCAATTTCTTTATTTTCACAAGTATTTTTTGATTTTATGTTAAATAAGATGGGTTGTATACTTTTATAGAAGTTTGTTAAGTAACTTATTTAATGTTATTATACAATTAAATATGTACATAGTAATATTATATGATTATTCTGCTGCTTGTAGTGTACTAGTATTAGAGTTCAATGCAGTTTATAAAGTTCACTCGTTCGTCAAGAAACAGATTTTTTTCCACTAGTATTAGTTCCCTAGTTTCATGTTTGATTCATTATTAAAAAATAAAGTATATTTTTTAGTACCTATGTGTTTTAACCTATGGCCCTTTTAGTTTCGTTTTACAAAATAAAATCAATTTTAATCATACTTAAAAAAATTCAAAAAAAAAAATTGAATAATTCACAAACGGCAAAAAACAGTGTTTTAAACAGTTTAAAACAAATTGGTTTAAAACACCGTCATTGTTTTAAACAGTTTGATTAAAACATAACAATCCTGAGTATCATCCAAATACCATCACACGTAATGTTATGTATTAATTTTTTTCTAAGGAGGCCATGATTTATTTGTCAGAAAATAAAATCAATAAATAACGCATTTTTTTCATCTAACGAGGCTCTGACTTTGAGGTTAAATAATTCAAAGTATGAAAATTGTTTTAATAAGAAGTAGGTACGTTTTCTCTGATCTCATTAGAATCATAAATCTGACAAAAAAAAATTGTCAAAACCTGTTGAAAATGGCCGGTATACCTCAGCAAGTTACTGGGAGATGTACCCCGAACGACGTTAGCCCACAAGCACAACACTCCTCATTGCGCTCATGAAGTGGCAGAGAGACGTCTACAGACCAAATTTGGAACTAACATTTGGTGTGGGGTCATTGGTAATTTAATCTAACTTACCGTTTTTAATTGGGCACCTATTTGAAATTAGGTATTAATCATTTCAGAAAATCGACTCATAGGACCATTTTTGTTCGACTACAACCTAAAAGGACAGAGGTACCTAGAGCATTTGCGAAAACATGTCTTGCCGGCTTCACCACCTAGTCTAAAAGATGAGTTTAGAAGAACCTGGTTTCAATTCAACCACCATTCAAGTCAGGAACTTCATAAGAGAGCAGTTTGATGAAAGAATAATTTCATTAAATGGTTCAATATATTGGCCTCCTGACGTTTCACCCTTGGATTTCTACCTCTGGGATCACACAAAGAATGAGGTATATGAATTTGATCCTCCCGCGACGATATAAATCCTGAGACAACGAATTTTGGGCAGTTAGAAACATAAACAGAAATATACTAGCTAAGATTATATGAAAAACAGTCACCAATCGTTAAAAATGTGTGGATGCAAATGGACGTTATTTTGCAAATATGTAAATTAATACCCACCTTACATAATTAGATTTTACATTACATTACAATTTTCTAATGTTTGTTTGTTGAAGTGTAAAATAAATTTACTATGATTTTTCTGACTTGTTTTTTTAACACACTCACAGTTGGGAATTTGTCCCAAAACATTTGACTTGTTGAAAAGTCGATATTAACGTTAATATTCTATTGAAAATTCAAGGCGTTTATGTGTTTTTTATGTCTTACACATTAATGTTTTTTCTGGCAAATAAATCATGACCTCCTTCGAAAAGAACAAATACATAACGTGTGATGATATTTCGGTGATACTCCAATCTTTTATGCACTTGTGAGAAATCGCTAGAATGGATGCATAGATTCTATCTTATTTTTCATAAAAAAATATCCGAATCATGCCACATTTTGACAGCTGTCCAATTAAACGTTTTGGATTTACTAGCAAAAACCAAATTCCGCCATTTTCTGTTTTTCGCTGATATTTTCGAAACCAATTGATCGTTCGTGAATCTGAAGTCGGCTATCGAATGCACTTAAGTTTCCCCTGAAACCTTCCCCATTTAACATTTGCTGAAGGTATAACAGGGGCCGAGATCCCTCTATAAGGAGCGAATCTGGGACACACTGTATATTATTTTAACTGAGTTGTTTTCCAAAAAACTTTCTAATTTCCTGTACAAATTTGTAATTGTATTTATTGTTCGTCTTAAGTGCTCCTAATTGTATAAAATTGTTTTGAGCATTGTAATGCTTTCACATTAATAAAGATTATTGGGTATTTAAGATAATATAAATATTGTATTTTGTAGGAAAGGAAAGCAAGCAGCACTGAAACTCTATTACTAAGAAAGAGGAAGGCAACCACAAAAGCATCCACAAGTAAAGAGGTAATAAACATTGATGATTCCTTGAGTTATGAAACTCCAGAATCTGAACATGCAAGTGTCATTCCCAGTTTGAAATCATTTGAAACTATTCTAATAGTTATTCTATCAGTTAACATACATTTTGGGTTCCAGGAATCAGATGCAGATTATGATGCTCCTGCCAACAAGAAAAAGAAGACAACCTCAAAGGTAAGAAAAGTCAGTTAGCATCTGAAATCTATAAATTTAGGATAAATAACAATTTCTCTGTCATTTTGAACTATATATCTACACTTAAAAAAATACAGTGAATGAACTTATAAACTCTGACTTCAATAATACATATTGATAACAGATATATCTAGGTATAATATCTACTTTTTGATTACCTAAGAGACTATTTAGATACTTTTTCAAATCAATATTTATATCTTCTTCTTCTTTATTCCTTATGGCTTCTGTGTACGTGTACAATCCGCCAGCTCATTTGTTGTGACTGTACTTTGCCTGGCTCTCAGCCATGTACGAGTCACTGTATTGTCTCGAATTCACGTGTAGAAATGCTGTAAAATATATCTATATCTTCTGCTGTATTATTTCTAGAGCTGAGATGTTGCTATTTATGATTGATGAAAACCTTTACTTATGCTTTCTAAAGTGGTGTGGGGAGGATAGTCAGACAGATGGCACAACACAGATATAGACTTTTCTCATACCTGGGCAAGGGAGGTACATTACACACACCCTAAATGTTGCCTAGGAAAAGGATTAGTACCCAGGGTTTTAAAAGATGGGGACCTGAAACAGTTATAATATTATTTTGTTTGTCTGAATGAAGTAGGTTAATAGGTATATGACTTTCATGTTGATATTTGCAAGTATTAATTGAATGTTAAAGGGAGCATTAAATCCAGCTTTTCTTATCTCTTCATATAGATTAAAGCCTAATATTTGATTTATTGGGCATTCTAATAGTATATGATTTAAATCTGCATATTGTCCACAATCACAGAAGGGGTCATCTTCCATTCCTATTTTGAACATGTGAGCTTTATATCTTGTATGTCACGTTCTCATTCTGATTATGGCTGTTAGGTGTCTTCTGCTTATATACGGGATTTTGGAGTAAAATGGTTTGACCGGGACTTCTTCTTCTAGTTTTTTATACCACCTGCCTTTGTTGATGAATGTTCGTTTCCATATTGTTGTGAATTTCTCCTTTATTTTTGTTTTGGCCTTACTTAGTATATCGGGTATGGTAAGTTTCGTATCTTGTGGGGTTCTGAGTTGTCTTCCTAAGTTAGCTAGGGTGTCTGCGGTTTCATTTCCTCTAATATTTGAGTGTCCCGGGATCCAAGCCAGTTCAATATTGTATCCTTTTTCTGCAGCTTCGTGAATTAGCTTTCTTGATGTGAGGCAGCCATATTCTGAGTTAGCACCCACACCTTTTTTGCTATTTGTGCTATAGCACTTTGCGAGTCTGTTAGTATTATGCTTTTTTAGATTTTCTTTTCTATGACTATGTTGCATGCTTTGTTAATCGCTGCTACTTTCGCCGTGCAGATATTTAAGTAGTCTGGATGTGTAGTTATGTTCCAGTTGAGGAATGTGTACCCCATATCCCACTTTATAGTCCGCTTTAGATGCGTCAGTGTATATGAGGGTATGGGTGTCTCTGAACTGTTACATAATTTGTAGAAACTGCAACTCGATATTATGATTTTTGTTTTAAGGGGGCCGACTTTCACTGCCCGTGTTTGAGTACTGTAATCAAAGTCGAAGCACGGTAGGGCTCGACCCGAATGGATTAGTGGAATGTATTCCTCCAAAATGGATTCTATGATGATGGTGGGCGCTCTATTCCTCCAATAGTCTTGGCCTGACTGATATTGGTTTTTTAGTTTTTTTAATATTATGATTAAGGGGTGGGATTGAATTCTATTTTTTTTTTGCTAGGAATTTAGCCTATGGTGTAGGTCCATTTCCGCGGTTTCTGCTAGTAACTTGTTAGTTGGTGTTGACTTCATGGTACCCGTTATGATCCTGAGCCCTTGAAATGACGTCTTCTGGAGTTTATTGAGGTCTTTTTGATTGCGGAAACTTAATAGTATGCTACCACAATCCAGATGGGATTTAACTAGTCCGTTATACGCCTGTGTAGAGTTGCAGGGTCGGCACTCCAGGAAACCTTCCCAAAAATGTTTAAAAGTTTTATTCCCCTATTAGCCTTATTTATCATATTGTCTATCTGTGCGCTCCATTTTAAATTTTTATGTAGTATGACCCCTAAGTATTTCGTTTGGTTTTTGAGCTCTATATTTTCATTGTTAATTTTAATTATTGGTGTGGACCGCATTCGATTACCTTTCGTAAACCGTATCGCTGAACTTTTTTCCACTGATATTTCAAAGTTGTGGCCTTTCATCCAAACGTTTACTCTTTCCAGATACCTACTCGTTTAATGTATCCGCCATTTTGTCTGTTTTGTTACCGTTGATCATCAGTGCCATATCGTCTGCGTAACTGAGTAAATGTATGTGTTGTGGTAATATTGAATATAATTCATTTATATATATATATATATATGTTAAACAATAGTGGGCTTAGAGGGGACCCCTGAGGAAGGCCTAGTGAGCTGACCTTTGGACCATGTATATTGTTTTCATTATCTATTGTATATACTGTTCTGTTATTCAGTAAATTAAACATTAGATTACAAATTTGTTTAGATATTCCAAGTTTTATTAGTGTTTCGTATAATAGAAAAATGTTTACGTTGTCGTATGCTGATTTGATGTCTAAGAAGACTTCTAACGTGGTTTCTTTTTGTGAAAAATGTATGTTGGAAACTATGAAAGCGAGGTTGTCTTGAGTAGAGTGTGCTTTTCTGAATTCTGTCTGCAGGTGGTTAAAAGTTATCATACTTTCGAGTTTCCACTCTAGTTTATTTTCGATCAAAATCTCTAGTGTTTTCCCTACGCACGAGCTTAGAATCAGAGGTTTATAGTTGTTGGGGTTGTTTGGGTCTTTATTTGTTTTAAGTATGGGGTATATCAAATGCTCTTTCCAGCTCTTGAGCAATAAATATGAGATATTGTCCATTCCTGGAGCACTATTTTTGCGGTTTTCCAAAGCGATACATAAATCTCTGAAGTAGAATTGATGGTTTTTATTTTTTGAACAGTGGAATGAGAATTCAGCTGGAATGTTACACACAGTCAGATTTTTTATGATATTTGCGGCAATTTGTGGGTTAGGGGATGAGTTTTTATTGTATACTTTTTTGTCACAAAATTTTTTGAATATTTTCCATATGAAAGAGGGATTCGTATTTCTGTTTATGATGGAGCAAAATTTTTTAAATTGGGCTTTTTCTTTTTTTTCAAGAATCTATTTGTGAGTGCATTGATTTTTTTCGCCTCTATGTAATTTTCTAAACTAGATTCTAGTTTAAACTTTCGTATGGCCTTTTTCCTTTGTTCAATTTTGGCTGAGCATTCTTCATCCCACCATGGGCTTCTGGATACCTTTCTATGTTTCTTATTTGAGCAAGAGTTTTGTAGTCAACATTATCCGTATTCATCCTAAAGTGTTCGTTTATCAATTGTGTGTATAAACTCCAATTTGCTTTTTTATAATTTCTTTTGGGTCTTTCGTTCGTTGATCTTAGTAAGTGTTCATATTTATAAATGATCGGGAAGTGATCACTATTTCCGCAGTCCTGCAAAATACCCCAATGTGTGATGGTGGCCAAGTTGTTCGACACTATGGTCAGGTCAAGAGGACTCGGATTCTCCCCTAGTCCTATGAGTCTGGTTGAGAAACCATCATTCACCACTTCGCCCAAGAGCGATTTCAATAGTTCATTGAACACTTTTATTGTGATTTTGTTGCTTGGAGGGCTATATACATTAACAAAATTAATATTAAGGACTTTAGTGACAATACAGTGTTGGTTTCCAGTGTTAAATGTGTTAGGGAGTCTTATGTTTTGATAACAGATGTTATTTTTTATAAATGTAGCTACTCCACCTTTCCCATCTTCTGGGTCTGCTCTAATGCATTGATAGCCTCTAATATGCGAACTCTGTTGTTTCTTTAGCCGTCTCATTTAAAAAAATGATGTCTGGGTTATGCGTTTCTAAAAATTGTATTAAATTCACGCTGTCACTACTGTAACTCTTTAGATTCCACTGTAAAGTGATTAAAGTGCCTTTTCTGTTCATTTTGCAGTTGTGTTAGTTTTGTACTACTGAGACTAGGCTCTGTAACATTTTTTACTTTTTCAATAAAATTCAGTCTGGTCTGTATCATTAAGTACTATTTGTTTAATTTTACTTAGGGTTTCAGGTTTAAGGTATTTTAAGTTTTCAACGATTTCATCTACTTGTTCTTTAGTGTTATTTCTGTAAAGGGCACTAGTAGGCGTCTTAGGTGTGTTGAATGGTGCTTCTGTGTTTGAAGCGTTATTGTGCACTTGTGCTTGTACTGTTATTGGTCCGTTACTGTTTTGTTGTCTACCGTTTCTGTTTATTAGGTTCTCATTGTATCTGGTGTTGTTCAACTATTCTTTTTTTTGTGTTTGTGTAGTGCTTTTTGGAAGGTTCTTTTTGTTTTTATTGTATTCGCGAATTCAAATGTTCTTCTTTGTGCTATATTTATTTTACTTGTTCCGGAGGTAGAAGGTGTATTCTGGTTTCTGATTGATGGGAAATTTCTATTATTTAAGCTGTCGGTTGTGTTTATCATATTAATTTGCGATTTATACGTTTTAGGGCACAGCTCGTTTGCCTCAAAGTATGAAATATTTTCAAATACCATAAGTTGTTTTATCTTTTCCTGCCTCCTGTACTCTGGGCAGTCTATCGAGTTGGATGTGTGTTCCAGACTATCGCAATGATAACATTTTCTTTGCCAGTGAAAGTCCTCCCCCTCTTCATTATGTTCAGGATTACTGCAATTAAAGCATCTTCTTTTACCCCTGCACTGGGTCTTAGTGTGACCATAAGTGAGACAAGAGTAACATTGCGTGACAGGTGGTATATATGTAAATACGAGAAAGATAAGATAGTAAATAGAAACATCTCTAGGACGTACTGTGCCTTGAAATGTTATTAGTATGATACCAGTGGGCGTGTATTTTGTAATGCCGTCTACTATGCTTTTTCTATTGAGCCTTTTTGCATCTAACACTTTCATTGGAGATTCGATAGCGCTAATGATCTCTTCAATTGTGAGGCTTGTATCTAATTGTCCTATGATTCCCTTGCATGTTACTTTGTTGAATATATATATATATAACAACAAGTAGGAAAATAATGGGCAAAATCCGCAAAAAGGAGGAAAGTGGATTCGAGCAGAAAATAGGATAGGTAACCCGAGCGATACGTATTTCTGCTGGTTGGCTTCATCAGGCCCGAAATGAATGCACATATGAAACTACAAAAGTAGATACACATGCCCACATATCCGGATACGGGTATAACCTGAGGAAACGAAGTTGGAGGGGGAAAAAACGACACACGAAGTCCACAACAAGAGCCAACCTACACATTGTAGTAAAATGATGAAGCCAACCAGCAGAAATACGTGAGTGAATAGTGGTGTCTGTTGCGTGGCTCAAACGAAATCAAAAATGGCCCATGTTTACGAAAATGCTGAACTTGTGGACATGATTCTTATTTACGGGGGGGGAATCGGTTTCCCAATCGAGTGCAACCAACCCCTCGTGCCTTTGTTAATGTAGTACAAACGGCTCGTGACTTAAGACCTCACAGGGAAGTGAATATGCCGGTGCTCCAAGACCGCACGATCAAATACAGGTCCGCACTGAAATACTTGTCGGGAGGATACTTTATAAAACAAGGTAACACTTTTTTTCATTTCTACAATCATTATCTGAAAATTAATGACTCAACTTCAAAGTCACCCTGTATATATATATATATATATAGGGTGTCCGCAAAGTTGGGGATTTCCTTTACATGACGTGTAGATCTTGAAAACATAAGCAATTTTTCTTAGTACCATATACACCAATGTCTTAAGGGAACCGAGATAAAGGGCTCTGCAACATCAAAAATATCTGAATACCGTCCTGTAGCCGCGACATCTCCGACTGGTACAAGGTCACTGGCTCAACCCGACGACAGAACTGGGTCGGGGTCAGTGTGTCAGGTCAGTATGCAACCTTCAACCGACGGTTACGGTCACGCGTGTAGAGGTAATCGCGTAGACGAGAATCCCTCAACAAGCACTAGAGACGTGGCTAGAGAAGTGCAAGTATCAAAAACTAAAGTGTGGCAAACGCTGCGTGAAGAGGGGCTGTATCCGTTTCACGTCCAACGTGTACAAGCCCTTCAACCTGACGATTTTTCAGCAAGAGTGCGGTTTTGTGAGTGGTTGTTGCAATAACATGACAATAATCCGGACTTTTTGAAGTGCATATTGGTGACAGACGAATCTACGTTCACGCGTAATGGGGTGAATAACTTCCGCAACACTCATGTTTGGTCAGTAGAAAATCCGCACGCTGTCCGTCGGGCACATTTTCAACAAACATTTTCGGTGAATGTTTGGACTGGCATGGTGAACGGTATGCTCATTGGACCATTTATTCTCCCAAATCGATTGGACAGGATGCAATACCTAGACTTTTTACGCAACATTTTGCCTTCCTTGTTAGATGTGCTAATAAGTGTAAGACAATCAATGTGGTTTCTGCGTCTGCTCGGTAGCGCAACAGCTGATTTCATTTTCTGTTGGACCAGTATGATTCCGGGCAGAGACGTACTTAGCCCTTCTCGTCAACTGTAGAGTGAGTACTTTTTCCTTTATTTTTTTTTTACTTGGTCGCCCTCGTTTCACTACACATTACCTTTGTTATTTCAAGGGTAGTTGTTTCTGAAAAGGAAAACCCCAACTTTGCGGACACCCTGTATATATTGTACCCATTGAGTTCTTTATTTGCAAAAGAGTTTGCTGACTTGTAATCCAGGAACTCTAGTCCCAGCCTATTACTTCCCTTGACTTGTATGCGTTTAATGTTGGTAAAATTTAATTGAAATATAGCTTTTGCTAGCTGTAGATACCTTCTTTGACCTACTGGAATCCCCGTGCCTTCCATTGCTTCGAAAAAATCTATGAAAGGTCCCTGTTCAGAGTTTTTGTAGCATATTTCTTGTTTATCTATAGTGTTTTGTTTTTTTGGTAGACTTTTTCTTTGTTTGTGACACCAATTATATTTTCTAGCTCTGCTTGTGTAAGGTTTCTATTATCTATAGCACTAGTTCTGGTGGGTGACTCCCCCCGGAGTCCCTTTCCATGCCTCTACACTATATGCGTTCCCTTTTTTCGTTTTTTGTGATAGGCAGTACACAAAATAGTATGTTTGGGGTAAAGTATATAAAAAAAATGGGTTTTGACTCACCATGAAGGGGATAGGGTTACTAACACACAGAAATTGATTAGTATTTTTACCACACCACTTGGATGTTTGTCTGCTCTAGGTTTGCCTTTCGTCTACAGTTTTTCTGTTGTTGCTCGACACGCGTTCCACGGTGTTCGAAACCAAAATCAGTATTTATATCTGGATGTTAACTTTCATTTTTATGCCATGTCACTCTCCTTTGGCACTCTTTGAACTGTTTCAATCAATCTATGTATTTTTGCTCCAATTTCACATGTTTTTCAACTGCAATTCAAAATTGTTCCTTGGCTTTAGCATTATTTGAATTTGTACTGAAAATTAATACTTTTCCAATATCTATATCTATAATTACAATGAACCTATCCTTGTAAAAACGTTTTTAGAAGAAATCAGAAGTACAGATGGAGATTTCTACAAAAAAGAAGAAAGCTGTTAATAAAAAAATAAAATCTGAAGCATTGAACAGTAAAGTAAAAACTGAGCCCTCAACATCACTGGCTGTAGGAAAAGAGAATGTTTATATCAAAGATGAGCTATATGCAGATGTTAAGCCTGTGAAGTTTGAATATGTAAGTATTGTTACTTGTGAAATCAGTCTTTAGATTTCTCGTTTAGTTGATATGTTTATCTAGTTAATATATTCAAACTACCTTGTGGGAGATAGTCACCTTGTTCGAAAATCTCTGCAATGGGAGACACAGACTGTTAAAAGGGGGTTAAGGGGTACTATTGGGGTGTGGTCAATTCAAAATTATTTGTTATGATGGCGTTTTGGCGTAATTATGCGTTATCTTAATAAATGTAAATACTACACCAGAAATATTAACCAGATTAAACTTTTTTGATAATACAGGAGACTACAGAAAAAAACTGGATAAGGAGATAAAAAGGAGAATTTTCTTGCAAATAAACCTGAAAATGATTCATAATTGCGCCGAAACGTCGTGGTAACAAATTAATGCACCTTTAATCGGCCGAAACATAAATGCTTGAACAGGGTCTTGGGTAAAAATTGACCTCAACAACAGCACTGATCAGATCAGACTTTTTAGACAATACATGAGGCTTCATAAGTAACTAGCTAAAGAAACAGGATAATTGTACGAAACTTCGTCGTAACACATTAATAAATTTTTAATTGATCACACCCCGATGATTCCCCGCCTTTAAAAATTGTATCGACGGTCGGGAATGAACTTAAGTGATGAAAATTTCTATTGACACTAAAGCAACTGGTCACATTGATCTATTTCCATAATTATGAATCTAAGAGATTGACTTAATAGTACTTCCCTCTTTTTAATAGTGTATATTGACTTATCCTGTTTTCACTCAATTTTCACAACTATTTATCTCAAAAAAAAAGCTGAAGACCAAATCGGAAACAGATGACCGCATCTTAGAACCATTCTGGAGAGACCATGATCTTCTAGCTGAACAGAAATCCTTATCACCTAACATAGCAAAAAATGTCATAAAGTTGCTAGAAGAAGGCAACACTGTCCCATTCATTGCAAGATACAGACGCGACGCTACCGGCAATATGGGTCCAGAGATGCTTCAAGAGGTAAAGAGCATATTTGAAGAGATATGCGTGTTGAAACAGAAGATCAAAACCTCTGTGAAGGGGTTAATCAAACAAGAATATTGCCATGATCAAGTTCTGAGGGCTGTCAAGTCTTGTAGGAGCTTGGATGAACTTGAGATCACGGTAAGTACTGAACTTAAGAAAGTATGCATATATGGTTAATTGTACAAATACTGAGTAAATTCAAAGGTAATTTGACAAATCAAATAATATAAAATTATCATATTAACAGTTGCTTTAATGTGTAGAGAAAAAGTGTCTTAGGTATTGTGGGGCATTGAACCAGAACTAATTTTGGATTTTTTTGCCCATTAGTCAGTCTGATGTACGTTAGTCGAATCTGTCAGTCCAGCTTGCCCAGAAACCAGACAATGTCAAGGAAAGGATTTCTTTGATGCTCCTGGAAAAATATTGACACGGGAATGATGACTTATACACGGGAATGACAAAATTTAAAAACGGGAATGCTAATGCACGAAAAATATGAAACTATATATTTTAACAAGAATGAATGATACTACTAGCGTCATCTGTTGGGAACCTCGCCAGAGAATCTCCTTCGGCGTCGAAGCGAGGTGCGAGACTGACCCCGAAGGTTCTGGAGTGGCCGCTATGTGGCGTACAGGAACTTTCACGAATTAACGAGTACCTGCGATGCGGAATTTATAAGCCGACGGCTGGGAGAGAGAAGGGGAGTTGAGTGAATAGCGCAACAATATAATTCGTAAATAAGTAGTCAGACATAAATAGTAGAGTACATAAATGTTCTATCTAGTTAAGTTCAAATTAGTTGTGTTGTGTTGTAAATAAATTATTGCATTTCGTTATGTGGAATCGAGTGTTTCCATTCACACTCAAAAGAACCCAGAAAAACGCTACATCGGTGTCAGATGTGGGATGTGGATTATTGGACATTCAGTGAAAATAAATCGGACGATCAGTGAAAGAAGAATGGCGCGATTGGTTGATTCGAAAACTGCCGATTTAAACAGAGAGCTGGAGGAAAGAGATTGCGCCTCGGCTGGAAAAAAGCGCAGTTGCAAGAGCGCCTTCGTAAGGAAGGAAGGCGAGGACCTGAATAATTTCATTTTTACCGGTGCAGGGGATATTGGTTTAATGCTGCAAAACCTTTCGACCAAGTCTCATAGTGTTTTGGTCGATGCTTTTGTGGATGGAACTCTCCACACCGTACTGCTGGATACAGGTGCAACAAAGACTATCATAAGGCCCGACATGGTGAAAGCATCGACGAAGATTCGACCATCCAAATGGCGACTACGAACGGCGACGGGAGACCGAGCAAACGTGTACGGTGAAGTAAACATCGCATTTCTAATAGGAAAAGCTACATCCGAACATCTGCGATAGTAGCTAATCGTCATCGGAATGGACATCATGGACTTCGAGTTGAACTTTAAGCTAGGAATCTTGAGGGTCAACAATGAGGAGGTCATTTTACACCGGGAAAGAAATGGAAACATACGAGTTCTATTGCCTGAAGACACCGTGATCCAAAAACGAAGCGAAGTTGTATTGAATGGCTCGGTAGATGGCCAGACTACAGACGGAGAAATAGTCATGTTTGAACCTAGGATGCATGACGAGGCTATTGGCCGAGGGATAGTAGTTGCAAAGGCCCTTATGCGTGCCGATAAAACTATTCCCGTGAGACTAATAAATGTCAGTCATTACCCTGTGTCATTGAAGAAGGGCTCGGAGCTAGGACACTGCTGTGCAGTTTTTGCAATCATTCTAAATATGCCAGCTGTGGAAAACTCGGGGGTCATTCCTAAGGAACTGGAAGAAATACTATGGTCATCAGGCAGAGATCTAAGACCAGACCAAAGAAAGAAACTAAAACATCTAATACATAGGTATCGGGATGTATTCGATACTGGACAGAAAGGAAGAACCAATATAGTCCAGTACAAGATCAATACGGAAAATGCCCTTCCCATCCGGCAGATGGCAAGAAGGCTCCCACTTGCTAAAAGAGAGGAGGCTGATAAGATCGTAGACAGTATGGCCAACGAGGGCATCATTAAACCATCCAAGAGTCCATGGGCCTCACCGGTAGTTTTGGTTAAAAAGCAAGATGGTTCAACCAGATTTTGTGTGGACTGAAAATACTGTAAAGCTTCATTTCCAAACTACTCTTTAAAATGGGGTATGGCATCTTCACAGATGTTGCATTTACGCATCAGGCAGTCTTTACCATATGTTTTGTGTTGTTTAGGTATATCACTTGGAGTTGTAGAGTTGTTATGTAGAGACTGTAAACGATACTTCCCATATTTATAAGTATAATATCATAAATATTCTCATAGGCTTAATATAGAAAGGTCTAGCAAGACAATAAATGTGTAAACTATTTTGAAGGTTGATAAGCAAGTAGAAATTTTTGATAAGGATTCTTCTTTGAGAAGAAACATTTTCATTTTTTAACTTTATTTTTTTCACAAATTCATTTTTAAGAACTTTCCCTTTAATAAGTCCTGCTCTTTGGAAATTTTTAGCCTTTTTTCTCTCAAAACTTGTTATATCTATCTTTTTGAAATTTTTTCAAAGACTTGTTTTTTATCACTTTGTAGTTCTTGGCAAGTATTCACCAACTGCTGCTGTAATACATCACCAAATCTTATGCTTTTCTTTATTTTTTCAACTCTCAAAGGTTCAATATTTGGTGCATCTAATTTTGTTGTTGGAATCAAATTTTCTTGATTTGACATTTAACTATTTTTCCATGATTTGTCTACCAAAAAGTCTGTAGTAACTCTTTTTATAAAGTTCAGCTTTCCTTATCAAATCTTCACTCTTACGCGCTAATTATTTTTGTTCCTTAAGGTGGTTGGTCACGTTTTTTTATGTTGTTTTTCTGGAGCCGCTGATAGGATTTTTATGATGGTCTGTAGTGGTACATGCTTTAATAATGCTATTAGTTGGTTTTATACACTTTGTTAAAAAATTTCTTTTTTTGGTCCAATTTTGTTAATCAAATTTCCATACTTATTCGAAAAATACCAATGCGACCGAGTTCAAATTTCGTGTCCACATTAAGTTAAATTATGTTAATGTCATAAGCCCATTGTTAAAAAAAATGTTAATTTGGGCAATATTATCTAATAACTTTTCTACCTAACGTTTTGTCACGTCTTGGGTGGCTCATGAGATGTAAGCCATGGTATTTTGTCGATTGCCATGGACCATAATGAAGCTTGACTCTTGACGATACCTTAGAAAGGCATCTTGTCTAATTTTGGCATTTTTGGGCCTTTTTTGTTTGACGTTGCTCTAATATGATTTGATGGTTGATATACGTCGAGAAGGGAAATATTTAATTTCAATTAGAATATAAAAAAACAGCTGACTACGCCCAAAATCCTAAAAATTGCACCCAAAACCATGCTAAATATGCAAACTATTTGGAACATCCGGATTCCCAGGAGAGGCCACGCTGCTTTCCTATTACAATTATTTTCGTAAAGTATAGAGTTATTTGCTTAATCATGTTCAGTAAAAAATTTCATCAAACTGTAAAAGTACGCTTCAAAAAACACAAATGTGATTTCGTCTTTGTTTTGGCAAGTAACATTGAGAAGGCAAAAAGCTCACATAATTAATATGCATGTTATACACATTCCAACTCTAGCATTTGAATCACTGACGCTCTCAAAGAATCACTTCACGAACCCCTTCCTTCCTCAAACGCTCATTCGAGATTTAGTATTTTTTTTTAATTGTAAAAGATATACATATCCCTACTGAGCGGGGCCGTGGCAAATGCTTGTTCCGGAAGTTGTGGTATCCAATATACAACTTCTTCCCGTTCAAGTGATTGTACACGCGTTAAGGAATACCGCAGTACATATTGCCGGGTGGCGGTGCAAGTTAATTAATTAACTTGCAAAAAGAAGGTGGTATACAAGTGCCAGTTGACCGAGGCGGTACCACCCGCTAGCTTTTCCCAGGGTGTCTTATAAATATCCGCATGTTTCCACATCTAAGCTATGCAGTCGGTTATCTTCTAAAATAATGAAATTAATGATGATCGATCTTTCAAGTACTAATGATTCCGGACGTAAACTCACTCCACTCTAGGAATGTCCGGGTGGAGCGTGGACTCGAGGGAACAACATCGAAGATAAAATTTGTTTCACGAACATCTGCGGGATTAACAGTAACATTGATGCTGTTCATCACTTCTTGCAATCCAATCGTCCCGCCATGTTTTTCTTGGCGGAGACAAAAATCTCTCAGAGTCTGCACCGATTAACCATCTTAACTTCCCAAATTACGAGGTGCACTCCAATCTGAGAATGAACGGGGGAGTTGTGGCTTTTGTCCGCAGCAGTCTTTCCCGCTCTAGAGATTTTTCTTTGGAATCAGATCGGAATGACATTCTGTGGCTTCGCCTATACGCCAACACATCCCCCAAATTTATTTGTTGCCTTTATCGCTCTCCCTCAGACCACAACTGGGATGACCTACTTGAATATCTCGCCGTCAAGATCGACTTCTGAACATCAATTACCCCGCTTCAGAGGTAGTTCTCCTCGGTGATTTCAATACCCATAATGAGCTTGGGTTGGGCTCAAACAAGACCGATGCAGCAGGTCGTGCAGTTGAAGCGTTCGCGCTTACTCAAGGACTGACCCAGTTGGTGAAGAGCACTACTTTTTTCCTCCGCGTCTCGTCACATGCCAGTAGCCTGCTGGATCTCTTTCTGACCACGCATCCTGTACCTTATAGCACCTCTGTCCTGTCCCCCCTGGGTAACTCAGACCACTGTGTTGTGGAGGTTAGGTTTCGGTCAGAACCCGCTGTGGCAGCAGAAACTCACACAGGCCGCAAAATTTGGGATTACGGACATGCCGACTGGGAGGGACTCAGATACTTCTTTCTCTACCTTTCCTTGGAGAGATGTTTGTTTCGCTGACGCTGATCCGTTCTTCGATAACCGAAATCATCCACGTTGGAATGGAGGAATACATCTCTCATACAGTGAAAGTGCCTCTTAGAAAACCGCACTGTAGAGAACAGACAAGCCGACATCGAGTCCAGAAACAAATATAATGAAGCGGTCCGCAATGCCAAAAACCAACACGATAGAAAAGTTAGGCGCA